TTCGTTTATTCTTTGTATATACATTTATTTCTTTGATATAATAATATCAGCTAATTGTTAATTTCCTAAATTAAACGATTTGCTTTTGTTTGTCACTGTAATTTTATGTCTTAAAATTTGTTAAACTATTATCTGGAAAATATTTCCAAGATAGCAACATATATTTTTAAAGCCTATATTAGAATATAGGATTGTCAATTTAATTGACAGTTATTTGAATAGCACTTTCCATAGTAAATATAATTCCAAAACTGTACAGCTAGTTAGAAAAAGCAGACAGTGGTGAATTCCTAGACAGAGGCAACGCAAATTCCAAATAATCTCGAATGATAGAAAGTTTGAGGTCTGTAATTTTTGACGTTTTGAAAATTTCTTATGCTCACCAAGGCTGCATTTATTTGATCAAAAATACAGTAAAAATGGTAATATTGTGAAATATTAGTACAATTTTAAATAACGGTTTTCTGTTTTAGTATATTTTAATATGTAAGTAATAACATATAACAAAGTAATATAACAATTAGCTTTATTCCCTGAGTTAAAAAACTTAATAATAATATAATAATAATAGCTCTCAAATTCTCTGCAAACCTCTGGTTTACAGGCATGAGGACATCAAGTTACCTATTTGCTGAAGAGCTGTGCAGTTCTTGATCTAAAGCTTGCACACATGTCTGTCATCCCACGTTTTACCTGTGTTTTTCCTGAAATTAACATCTAATTGTATTTTGTAGCTGAAGTTTGTAGGGTAGCATGCATCGCTACTGTAGACCAGCTGGAGGTGATCTGTCGAGAGCAGGGGGTGAAGTGCGAAGAGCTGGGCATCAGCAAGCACAACCTGTGTGACTATGAGGTGGAATATCTCTGCGACTACAAAAAGAAAGTCATCAACGATGGGAAGACACAAATAGTACAGGTGAGCTTAAAAGTCTGGCTCATAAATGTACTCCTGTCAAAGTAAATTCTACTACATGATGGGTAAAATGAGTTTTATCAAAGCTAAACTTAAGTGGTGGCCAGTCACATAAACTGCTTAGATTAGTCTTACAAGTTAGTCCATATCTAGTTTTTTTTAAGGAATCTTGCATCCAAAAATGAAAATTTGCTGACAATTTACTCACCCTTAGATGTGGAGAAATTTAGCATCACTTGCTCACCAGTGGATCCTCTGCAGTGGATGGGTGCCGTCAGAATGAGAGTTCAAACAGCTGATAAAAACATCACAATAATCCAACCGGTCTCCAGGCCATCAGTTGACGTCATTAGAAAGGAAAAGTTGTGTGTTTGTAATAAACAGATTTATCATTAAGACACTTTACTATAACTGTTGTGTCCTACTAAAATTCCTCTGTCCAAAATGTTGCTTTCCTTAGTGAAAAAGTAATCTTGTCTGAATCAGGAGATAAATATGTACAGATCAAGCACCATATACAAGCCAAAACGGGCCTGTACCATGAAGCCGGATTAGCTGGCTAGCCAGGTAAGTTACAGTTTAGATTGCACCAATCCTGGTTTTTAGGTACCATGAAAGTGGCTTGGCTTTTAGCTGCATTCGTTGCCATAGTAACTTACACTCCACGGCTAACCTGCTCCAGGGCAGGTTATGTTCTGAGTTAGAGATCTCAAACTGAAATTGGACCAGATGTGAGCAAAGTGCCACGTCTGACACAAAAAAGTCACTCCATCAGTTTATCTTGCTCCAAATTAAAGATAACTAGTACTAAAAAAAATGTCTGGCTTTAATGATAATTACTTAGTTATTTGATATGATTTATATTATTATTAATCCATTACACAAGCAATTTTAGTTTATCAGTTATTATAAATTATTTATTTTAAATGAATGTTAATATATACAGATCGTATGTAATATAAATAAGCTGTAGAATCAATAGATAATGCTTTAAAAATGACTACGTGACCTTACATGTTCGAGTCTCTATCGCTGTATATAACAAGTTTCACTTGTGATTGCACTGATAAAGCAAGATAATTTATTTTATTTGTCCTCTTTCATGAACAAGTACTTTTTTCATTGTAAATGCATTTAAATTCATCATATTCTTCAATCTCTTAAATTTTAGCAAAACGTTTAACCTTTAACCAAGGCTTGTGATTGGCTGTTCGCCAGTGATGTCACACATTCATGTGCACGTGCTCCACAAACTCAGGATCAAAGCTTGAGTTGACAAAGAAAGTTGATGATCAGCATCATGGTACCAACAAAGCCGGTTTGGTTTTGTCAGTTTGAAACTAATCCTGTAACTCTGAATTTGCTCATCTACCATCATGGTACAGGCTCCAAGTCTAAAAATATATGACAGTAAATTCTGGATTCTGGATTGATATTCTGGCCAGAAGGGACAGTTTAAAGTTGTTTCTTGCAAACAGCTTTTCACCTCACAAGATGTTAAGTGATGGACTGGAGTCGTGTGGATTATTGTTTCTTCAAGTCTAGTCATAACTATATACATGTCAATATATAGTTCATTAATCAAGGCGATATATTTGTTTAATAATGTATATAGTGTTGTGCACAGTATGATATTGTCATAATGTCATTCCTTTTTTAAATTAACCTAAAAGTCTTTCATATTTTCATTTTTCTATAGTATACATGTTTAAGTGTACCTTGTTCACATAATATATAATATAATATAAATGTTTTAATAAAGCACCTTATATTAACTTTTCATGTAATTTACATTCAAACGTTTGGTTTAATTTGAGGCCAAAAAATTAGACTGATTGACCACTTGACGAACCGCTACTTGGTCAGACTAGCTCAGTCTTAATAGTGGCTATGTTTATGCTACTGGCCCCAGGTTTAAATGTGTTTAAGCTCACATCCCTGTTACCCCCTTCATAGGAGTTATACTTGGTGAAATGGAAGGGCTACCCCGAATCCAGCAACACATGGGAACCACGGAAGAACCTGAAGTGCGTAGATCTTCTCAACCAGTTCTGGGAGGACCTGAATGCAGAGATGCAGAGACAGAAGAAGCGTGCTGCCCCTCGTCGCCTAGACCCTGCCACCGTGTCCCAGCTCATCCAGCGGGCCAAACTCCGACAGACCCTTAAACGGTGGGAGACACACCTCAACAGCCTGGGCACCCACAAGGGCCACATCTACGTCCGGAACCAGGTCGACCTGGAAGGCCCGTTTCACGTTCAGTGTTCCGTTGTGTCAGTTTAAGGTTTTTGTGTTTCATTGAAATATGTTTTGCTTCACTGGTAGATAATGGCATTATCAATCAACTTTTCAGTTTCCTTGTGATGGCTGATTGGCTGTTTATCTGTCTTTCCCAGAAGTGAGTCTGGCTTTATGATCATTTAAACCCTCTTTTTATCTCTTTTGTTTAGATCATTACAACAGAAGAAGCCGAACGCAGAGGTCACATATATGATAAAGAAGGCGCCACCTATCTTTTTGATCTGGATTACGTTGAAATGAGGTATCCGTGGGCTGCGAATGCACAGACTGCCTGGAAAACCCTGTGGAGGGATGCTGTGCCGGAGCATCACAGCACAAGTTTGCTTACAATGAGTTAGGCCAGGTCCGCATTCGGCCCGGGTTGCCCATTTACGAATGCAACAAGCGCTGCCGTTGCGGGATCGACTGCCCCAACAGAGTGGTGCAGAGGGGAATTCAGTATTCCCTCTGCATTTTTAGGACAGACAATGGAAGGGGATGGGGGGTAAAGACCACGGAGCGCATTCGGAAGAACACTTTCGTTATGGAGTACGTCGGGGAGGTGAGAAGCACTATAGGTTTACTTCCTGTACGGATTTTTTAAATATATATATATATATATATATATATA